ACTAGTGGAAAATCAGTCTTTTGCGTCATTTCTTTGTTGTCGGACATATCAAAAATCAACGTAAAAAGATGTAGTGGCATTTTTATAATTTTTGTGAACTTTTTTACGTCGGACATAAAGGTGTCTGACGTAAAATGTAAAATCTATGTCGTACATAAGATACGTCTGACGTATATTTTACATTTTACGTCGGACTCCTTTATGTCCGGCGTAAAAAAGTCTATTAATCTTCCCGCACGCGTCAATATTTGAAAATAAGAGACATGTAAAATGGTGTGAGTATTTAAAAACAAGAGATATGGGAAACGGTGTGAGAGAAAGAAGAAGCTCAACCGCTTAGGTTGAATTTATTTTCTACCACTCTTCACTTTCCTTCTTCTATTTCGGTTTCGTCAGAAGTAACACACCAACACCAAAATTTCTTGCTTTTTTACTTTCATATATTTAGTTTTATGTTTATTTAGTTTCTTTCAATTTTGTGCTATGCTTTCAGTTATGATTATTCAGGATATGGAGCATTTACAGGTAAGGTATGTAACTCGCCTGATTTTTAAGTTTGTAAGTTTGTTTCGCGCAGAGAATTTTGATTTTTCATCTGGAACGGCCTGTTCTGCAAGTAGAACAGGTCGTTCTACTTGCACTAGTTATGTTTTTTTTTGTTTACAACTTTTTTACGTTGGATATTGGTAATGTCCGACGTAAATTTACATCAGATTTTACAACCAACGTAAATTTACGTCTCCTGCTTTAACGTCAGACTTTTTTTCTGACGTAAAAAACTTAAAATAACTGACGTAAATGACTTCTTTTGTACTAGTGATACAAGATTTAATATCAAGAACTTCTTTAGAACAATAGCTCTCCAAATTGATGTTAAATGTGAATTTTTACATTAACTTTTAGAATGGTCATCTAAAACATATAGATATTAATTAATTTTAAAAAAAATTAAAGATTTTTTTGGTATAGACTACAAATATTTCTTATAAAAAATCTTGTTTGACTTGAGTATAACTATTATAGATAGCAAAACTACCATTTTAAGAATTAACACATTAGTTGATTTATATTTTAAGATTAAAATTTTCTTTCACTTTAAATTTCAATTATTTTTAATTTTAACTTCTTTAATTTTATATTTTTTATTTAATCTTTTCCCTTTTTTTTTCTTAAATCTCAACTATTTATATTTTCACACAAAAATATTCCAAATAAATTTATATGAATAAAATTATAGTACGGTGTTGGTTTAATATCAATATCTTATTTAAACACATGGGAATTAAAAAGATAATTTTATAAAAATAAATGTAGAAATTTGAATGAGACATAAAATACGATACTTTAAAAATACAATTTCTTTTAAAAAAAGTACAGATAAATAACGAGAAATATCATTAAAAAAAAGTAAACTAATAAAAATATTTTTATATTTAAGAATGAAATTCAAATTTATAACTTAAAAATCAATTACCACAAAATATTCCTCAATCCTGTTGCGTGAAATAAATTTCTTAAATAAAATACGATATTTAAAAAATAGATATCCTTTCTCTTTCTGTCTGCACTCTACAGGTCATATAAGGATATGTGTTGGAAGGGGAAAACCAAGAAATGGAGAACATGTTGCTTTCTTCATTTTCAACGAATATCCCACTTGTTGTCGATGAAGATCCCAATTCCAAAATTTATAAACAAGGCCTAAATTTTACTCAGGAGTGACTCCAATTAGGATTGGAACCAATTATACGTATCACGATTATGCAGAATAATACTGTCCAAAACCCTACATCATCACTCTTTTTTCCTTTTCTTTTTTGACCAAATTTAGATAGCCAACTTAAAAAATTGCACAAGATTTATCTATTGCTTTTGCAATCACCAACATGACTCAAACTCAATAAAATAATTCTTTTAGCATTGATTTAAAATCATTTATTTCATTTTCCACAAATGAAATGGTTCCCTAGGATTGGCGTTCCCAGTAGTCACCCCATGAACACATTAAATTTTATTCCACTCCGGATACCAACTACTTTTATATATTTTATTTCTTGATCATGTAATTTAATCTGATGATAATGGTAAATTAAGGTTTGGGGCGGTATTGTGCCCATATAGGAAATGTTTAAGAAACATTAAGCCATCGCTGACATACTCTTGTCCTTTATAATATAGTTTTCAATGGTTTACCTAAAAATATTTATCGTTTTTAATAACGTTGCAAAATGCAAACCATGGACGCTGAGTCCATCTACAAAACTCTTTTAATAAAAATATGTCGTTTAAGAAATTTAATTTGTAAACTTCTACCACGCAAACCGAGAAGGTGAGGGAAAACATTATTTCATATCAATTTCAATTGTTGTAAAAGACTTTATTATCAGTTGAACTTTTTGTATTATCTGCAGAACAGCCTTTGTTTTAATCAAAAATAAAATAAAATGAGTTCATGGCTATCGAATATGAATAAATATAACGATGGTTGCAAACTACTGATTTTTTTAATCAGCTGCAATTATGTCTAGAATTGCGAGGAAAGGAAATGATCCTTCGTTTACCTGTTCAATGTTAATTTTATATATTTTAAGATTTTGACACATTAGGGACAACAATGCGGTAATGCCCGAATCTGCAGAACGGTATATAAGAATATTTCAATAATATATACGTTATAAAATTGGTCAAGTTTCTACTAAATAATCAAAAAAGATTCCCACTGTTTGTGTGTCCATACGAACCATATTTAGATTCAAAAATTTCATAATGGCTGTCTTCCTACATGTGGGGAAAAACACATGACAACTCATTAATTTCCTACATGCATGTATATGGGACACAAAAACAAACACACATGTGTACTATGTCTATATAGGAACTGTGTTGGTACAACATTATAGGTTTATTTGGAAGAGGTGTAGAAACATGTGTATTTAGTAACAACAAAATAAGTCGGATATAAATTCAAAAGATGATGAGCCTCACCTATTGTTATTAATTTTCAGGTAAAAATGATGGGAAGAAATGTCGAATCTCTCGTGTTAATAATCGATTATCATTTTTTATATACAAAATTATGATTTTAATTGGTTTAATTGACTAAATAAAAATCGATCATTTTTTTTTACTTAATCTATTAAATTAAAATTAATCAATTAACTAAAAAAGTAATTATTTTTTATTTCTTTATTTCGTATTTCTTTTAAACTAAATACTCATATTTTTACTTTATTTTCATTTACCCGACTTCTCCATTATTTTGTATACCTGACTTTCTACTTTGCCAAACATCCTTGAGAGTATTAATGTAGAACATACATAGATGAATAGAGTTCCATTCTTGGTAAAAAGAAAAAGAGGCTGCATAACCCTTTGGAGCCAAGAACTGAGAGCACTGAGGAAGATTTTCTTCTCTGAATTGTGCACGTTTAAAACAGTTATATTAGACTTAGAGTTAGAGATACATACAATATTTCTTATTCTTCTTTATGACGTGAATTACCTTATCCCGTATTTTTCTCTCTCTTTCTAATTTCTTCCATTGTTATGTCTTATTTTAATGTAGAGAGAAAATAATAGTTAAGTGCAGATAGCTGGTATTGTTTGTTTGTAAAAATGTCTTTGTTTTGGTCTCCTTAGGCCGTAGATAAAAAAAGGAAGAGAAGAAGAGACTAGAACCGAACAAAACAAAGTTCCATTATGGATGATTCTGATCCCTCTGCGCCTTTGCTTTCTCCCTTGCCTCGTCGGAATTCCCTCCTCCGGCCACCGCACCTCCTTCTCCGGTCACTCCCTATCTAGTTCCACAACACAACACACTCCAAGGTCTTTCATTTTTCCATTCTCACTTTCTTCTTCTTCTTTCTAAACCAAATGGTACTTTCCAAATTGAATCACAACCTCAACAGTCAACAATAACAAATTAAGCTACTCTCTTTTTCCTTACATCTTTTGTTTCTGTCATGACTTTGATGAATTCGGGTGGTGGTGTCAGGTGTGGGACATGGTTTCTCTTCTTTCATTATTATTTTGCAGAATCAAAGTCTGTTCTTTCTGCTCCTCTTTTAAAATGGTGTTTCAACATGTTCCGGTAGATATGGGTTCTGACCAGTGACATATCATGCATCTTTGAAATTTTGTATTTCCCAGGTCCCATATGCAGAATCTCTTTTTAAATTTGTTCAACAGAGCAGTGTGTTTCTTTTTACATGGCAAGGCAGAAAAAGAATCAATTTTTATTTTTTTACTTATATCTCCCAAATCAGCAGTTACCACTACAAAATTCGAGTTTGATCTATGTTTTTCTATAAATAAACCAATGTGTGGACAATGGACATTTAATGGAATGGGACCTATTAGCCTTTCTCTTTCACTATTCATATTCACTTGGATGTGTGCGTAGATATTTTCAATTTTCACTCCTCTGCTCGTGGATGCAAGTTGCAACACTGGAATTCAACGTGAGAATGTTCTGCATAATAATCTGCAGTTTTGAGTTTTAAATTTGTGATAAATATTAAATTGTGAGATTCTAAGCTTTCTGAGTCAGAAATTGTCCTTATGTTCAGTCACGGCATACCCCAACTTTGATTTTTATTTGAGAAGGAAGTATGTAGGAACAGGCAAAGATACAAATTAAAAAACTAAAACGGTTTCTTCCTATGGGCTGTTGTAGAATTTCTTACCTGCTCCTCATTCTTTTAGTGCCGTACATACGTTTTAAATAAAGTATTTTCATTGCGCAGGTTCCACACTACTTAAACGGCAAAACCACAAAGGTGTCGTGTGGGGAATCACATTGTAGAGTTGATGGGGCATTTTTCCTCAATGTTCAATGGGTTGGCCCGCTCGTTTTCAATGAAGAAAGGAAGAAAGAATGGGACATGTGGAGGGAGGGAAGCTGCTGAAGCAATGGCAAAAGAAGCTAAGAAAAATGACATGATGTTGTGCAACTCTGGCAATGTTCATGTCGATGGTTCAAACAACTTTGTTTCCGTTTTCTCCAAAAGAGGCCAGAAAGGAGTGAACCAAGATTGCTGCATAGTATGGGAGGTATGGTATATAGTAGAAATTAATACTCAAAAATCTTTGTTTTCTTTTTCATGTTGTTAAGGGAAGAATTATTTTAATTGCCATGATAACTTACCTATTGGTGAGTGGTTAAGTGTTTACATCATCGTGGTCCCTTATGGATGTGTTGGTGTTGTTTATAGGAATTTGGATGCCAAGAGGACATGATCTTCTGCGGTGTTTTTGATGGGCACGGGCCATGGGGTCACTTTGTGGCCAAAAGAGTGAGAGAGTCAATGCCACCATCTTTGTTATGTAACTGGCAGGAGACACTAGCCCAAACTTCACTTGATGATCAAGGTATTGATGTAGAGGAAGAGAAAAGGCATCAATACCGGTTCAACATATGGAAGCACTCTTACTTGAAGACTTGTGCTGCCATTGATCAAGAACTAGAGCAGTATCGCAAGATAGACTCATTTTACAGTGGAACAACTGCCCTTTCAATTGTTAGACAGGTAAAAGCAAAATGAAAATCTATCCACTTTTCAAACAATGATCGCTTGCAATTTTATTAGTTTGTTTCATGAATTTAATAGACATGTATTATCCGTATAAAAATCACCACCATCTATATGACTTTTTAAGGTGATTATTATAAAAGTCTAATAAACTTGCCATACATAATAGATTAGATGATAATGTAAAATATAGAGTTTTTTTTTAGATATAAGTTAGAAATATTTTTGAAAATTTATCTATAAAAAAAAAAGAAGCTTTTTTTCGGCTAATAAACTTTCAAAGTGCTTCTAAATTTGTATCCGAAAGGACTCATATTAATGTATATACTATGTTCTCTAGTTTTGTCTTCATAATAGACAAACCAATATTATTGGAGATTCTTTGAAACTAATGCCTAACTATTCTATGATGGGCAGGGTGAACTCATTGTCATAGCAAATGTTGGTGATTCTCGTGCCGTATTAGCTACAACATTAGATGATGGAAGTTTGGTACCGGTTCAACTAACAGTTGATTTCAAGCCAAACTTACCCCGTTAGTTTTGTCTCGGTGTATTTCCATTATTGTTCATCTCTAATATTTCTTTGGCTTCTCATTGTGGTGGTGTTAATTAACATTCAATTGCAGAGGAGGCAGAGAGAATAATTCAGTGCCAGGGGCGTGTGTTCTGCTTAGAGGACGAGCCAGGGGTGCATAGGGTGTGGTTACCAGATGAAGAGTCTCCAGGACTAGCCATGTCTAGGGCCTTTGGTGACCACTGCATTAAAGGGTACGGTCTAATTTCTGTTCCTGAGGTAACACAGAGAAATATAAGCAGTAGAGACCAGTTTGTTGTGCTAGCCACTGATGGGGTATGAAGTCTTCTCCTTGAATTGCAACTGTTTTGTATTTGCATATTCTAACAAGAAATGTTACTAACACTTTTACCAGCAATTTTCTCTATGGTTGAAAATCATAAATTTTGGTACTACTAAATCATACAAGACTCAGTTAAATGAGATTCAAAATTTGTAATATTCAATGAATTTAAACTGATATAAAAAAGAGTATTAGATAGAGTGTTGTTAACATTGACATTCAGATTGAAATAGAGAGCAACATTAACACATTCTGTTGGTTTTGTGATGAAGGTTTGGGATGTAATATCTAACAAAGAAGCAGTGGAAATTGTATCTTCAACAGCAGATAAAGCTAAGGCAGCAAAACGTTTGGTGGAGTGTGCGGTGCATGCATGGAAACGCAAGAGACGGGGCATTGCCGTGGATGACATTTCAGCTATTTGTCTCTTCTTTCACTCTTCCATTTCATCACAACAAGTTCAGCTTGCCACCTTAAAATAGATTGTCGTGTAAAAATGAGCTAGTCATGTCACAGTTGATGATGTTCCATCGATGTAACCTTGGTCCAGTTAACATAAATTGGTTTAGAAGTGCACCATACACTTATTCCTTTCTGAAATTAGATAAATTTAATCTAGTAGGAATAATTTTAAATTGTTAAACATAATTTAAAAAATATGTTCAAATTAATTTCAAACACAAATTTTACTTTAAAATGTGTATAAAATAATAATAAAATAGAAAAGGTTTCTAACCGATTAAAAAGAGGTACTGTAGTTACTCCTTGCTGTGTCTAAAGAGATGCACCCAATTCTAGTAATTTGATGATATTCAAGTTTAAATCAATAAAATAACGGTTAACAATAGAAACCAGCCATTAGAAAATGGCAAATATGAATAAAACAGAACCAACCCTTGTATCATCAAGGAAGCTGCTAGGGTAAGATTTTGTGGCTTTTTCATAGATCTATCAGTAACGGATCTCCCCGATGATGAAATTACTACAAAGCCAAATTCTCACAATTCAAAATTCAAACTCGCAAATTATTGTCGGCGAAATTATTGCTTGAAGTACGCGTTGCAGTTTTTGAAACGTGGTTTTTACATTTGGAATAGGATATGTGTTCTCACCAAATAATGAAATCGAATGATGATTTTTCAAGGATATGATTATGGTGTGTATTCTCAGTCCAATCTACCTCATGGGATCCACAACTTACTTTTTGGCTTCTTGCGGATAACTTTCCCACGTGATTAATTAGAATGCTTATTTCTGATTTGTAATTTTTGCCTTTGTTTTTGTTAAGACCTTGGTCAGGAACCCATAATAGGCCTTCCAGCAAAGTAATGATTCAAACTATTACCATATTCGTGTCTATGCACAGATGATTCAGCTGTTTTCACATATTTTATAAATAAACAATATATAAAATGAAAAATTTTGTATAAGAATAGGCATGATGCGAATTTGTTTTTCTTTTTCACACAGGCTAGTTGGAAATTATGACACGTTGCAACTTGATAGCTACGTTGCCTAGATAGTTTAAAAATGGTGACATTTAATTACTAATTAAGAATATTATTTGGCATGATTGATGGAATTGGAATGGGAAGCTGACAGGCAAGTGTTGATGTTTGTTAGCAGATTGTTTGGGTACAAACTATGTTGTTTTTGTGGAGCTCTGGGCCTAAAGAACAAAGGGAAACGTGGCCTCTTCTCGTTACTTAGGGGCCGATGATAAACACATCTCCACTCTCGTATAACCACACCTCTTTTTTTAAAAAATATATATAAAATATCTAAATTACCCTTAAAAAAAATGAAATTCTTAAATTTACACCCCCTTTCCCGCATCCCACACCCCCCTTCCCCGCATCCCAACACCTCCACTCTCGTATAAGCACCCCCTTCACTGCACCTTTTCCAAATTGTGTTTGAGAAATTAGGTGGGCTTCTATTCAAGCCTGGCGGGAGTAACTTGCAGCATGCAACAACATTCTCATTTTTGTTTCTCGTTTATGCTGGCAAATTGACTGTGGTGGTAATGTTTTGGCTTCTCCAACGCGACTCAAACAAATAGCAAGAAGCCAGGTATATATGCAAATTTTAGATTTAACTATACTTTTAAGTCCATATGATAACTCAACGATTTATTTTTATATGTTTACTGTACATGTATACATTTATGCAGGTGGATTACATTCTTGGAAGCAATCCAGAGAATATGTCATACATGGTTAGATACGGAGGAAAATATCCTGAAAGAATACATCATCGTGCGTCGTCATTGCCATCCGTAGATGAGTACCGTGGCCACATTGGTTGCAAAGAAGGATACTTTTATTTTCAAACCCAGAATCCAAACCCCAACTTGCTTTTAGGAACTCTTAAACACTTAGGGTGCGGGAAAGGGGGGTGTGGGGTGCGGGGTATGGGGGTGCGGGGAAGAGGGTATAAATTTAGGAATTTCATTTTTTTTAAGAGTAATTTAGACATTTTATATATATTTTTTAAAAAAGGGAGTGTGCTTATACGAGAATGGAGGTGTGTTTATCATCTGCCTTACTTAGGTTTCATGTTGGGATTAATCTGGCCATTAATAGACCATAGAGTCTCTAATGGATTCAAAAACTTTCATTCACCACGGATTTAACACTTTCTTTTAATTTGCTTGGTGAGGATTAAATGACTTTACATAATATTGAATGCGTTAATTAATTGGTGAATGATTGTTTTAATATTACTCAGTAGTTTTGAGATTAAATTTTACTAGTAACATTAAATGAGTAAGAGTTTTTTTGCCCCTCTATTTATGATAAATTAATTTGACTTAAGTAAGATTACAATCTCTTATAAGAAAAAAAAATTATGTAATTTTGATAGTCTTTATTATTAGCTTTGGGATATCACATAGATGATATTTATAGAGAAAAAAAAATTATCTTATATTAAAAAAGCAATGAAATTCTCCCCTTCTCATTCTCTCAATTAAAAAAGACAATGGAGTACTTATTATTATAAAAAATATATTTTATTATAAACTATATTTATAGTTATATTAAAATAAATATTTATCTGTTTTTTTATAAATCGTACGTACAAACAAAAATACTACTTAAATATTAAAAGTTTTTTATATTAGCAAAGAACAAAATACTTGTAAGATTTATCTAGGGATAGTGATATTTTATAAATAATAAATAATAACGTAGCAATAAATTGAATGAAAACTTTGATATATCTATTTAAAACTTGCTAAAATTCTATTATTAGTCTAATGTAATAAGATACATTTTTTAAAAATTTCATGTTAATTTTATGCAAAAATATATTTACGTCCTAAAATATTCACATAAATAATAGTCTTATATATTGTTTTACGTTGAATCGCTAAATCGTAGAATTTACTTGGTTACGTCGGATTATAATTAGATTTTGGTTTACATGTCCTAGTTTGAATGAATATAAATATTAAAAGATGTATGTATAATATTGTATATTTTTATTAATTATTATGTTTTTATTAATAATTTTGAGGTTTGATGTTGAGAAAATTTTGAAGTTAAGGATTTCTTATTCTTCAAGGGATTGATATCTCATTTAGTTATTGACCTAATAAATATAAAAATGTTATGTCAATTTGATAGTATCAAATTATTTAAATTATTTATCTTATTGTAAAAGATTTCTATAGATGAATATGTGATGACACATTAATTGAGGTGTATACATATGATATAGCGTGATTTGGTATATTCATACACTTAGGTGATTACCTTCTTGAATGACATGGTTGTGGCCAGGAACGAATTTGAAAATTTTAAATAATTGGAGCAATATTTATATATAATTTTGTAGTAATAGACATATAATTTTTCATTTTTTGGAATAAAAATATACATTTTAATTGTTCTCTACGAGATTCCGTATTATAAAAATACTAAATGATTTTTTATTTTTGACATCTTCGAAATTATTTTTATTTATATAAGTAATAAAACAATCATTCAACCGTTTATTTCTCATATTAAAACTTTGCCTTTTTTATAAAAAAAAAAAACATAATATGAACTTGAATAAACCATCATCTTTTGGCTAAGTTTATTTAATTATAATTAACCTGACACACCACGTAGACATACATAAGAGTTTGTTAATGCACAACTACTTATTTTTTTTTTAAAGGAGTAAGTTAACATGTTACATTTAGGTACATTTTAAGAAATATTACGGTTATAACTTGTTAATATACTCTTTTTAAAAAAAATAATAAGATGTATTTTAGTAGACCCCACATACATTTGATAACTTAAATCCATTTATTTTTAAGAAAAATTAAGTTATCAAGCTACAATCAAATGTATTTTTTAAAAGAAAAATATACTTCAAAAATAATATATTGATTTTAACTTTTTTTTACAACATAAAACACAAAAGGTAATAAAATACTTAGTTGCTAACATAATAAATAATATATTTTATTATAATATATATTGAGAAAATAATTGACATAAAATACATAGCGGGGGCATTTGCCCCCACTTTTACTAACCTAGATCCGTCATTGCTTGTGGTATAAGTTTGATGTGTCTAAGTTATTTTACTTTCAAACATGGTGATGTTCTTATTGAGTTGTGTGGTGTTGTATTTTATAAGATAATGTGTTGCATGAATTACATGTTGGAGCTTATCATATTTATATTAAATTATTTTTTTAATATATATATATATAACACAGTTAGTAAGTGTATGTCTAATTTTCCCCCACTATATTTAACTTTGTTTTAGAAAAAAATTATTTGTAAAATAAGTTTGTTGTTTGAAAAACTACATGAAATTTATACACAATTTTTTTTCTTTTGAAAATAAGTTATTTTAATAATATGAAGATTTAAATTTTTTTATTATTTTTTAACAATTTTTTTTCTTATAAAGTTAATTTAGTACATAAAATAGGTTTTTTTTTCCATATCTAAACAAAATATAATACTTTAAATTCACTTCTCAGTAAACTTTCTCAAATAAAAATGTATTATGATTGTAGTCGACTATAATAACAATTGAGTATTGAAATATTATAATTTTTGTGACATTTTCAAATATACCTCAAGTATTTGTTATGAGTGTTTACATAATGGTTTGATTGAGTTTTTTTACTTAAAAGTCACTCAAATCAAACATTTTTTTTTTGGTTTAGTTTGATTTGATTTTTGTAGTTTTAAAAAACTTGTTATTTAAAAATTAGTTAAAAATAGATTAAATTATACTTTTAGTTCTTTTATCTTAATTTTCAAATTTATTTTAATCTTTTTATAAATGTTCATTTTGGTAATTTACCTTTTAAATTTAGGTCAATTTAATATTTTTGAAATCTTTTTTTTATTAATTCAAAACTTAAAACTTGTCTCATACAATTTAATTATATGAAAATTATTAAATATAATCAAAATTTAAACCAAAACTGTTATAAACATGATGAATCAAAAATTTCAAAAAATTTATTTATATGCTATTTTCAAGTTGTTTATGAAATATATTTTGTCAAATGAATTTTACTGTATTTATAATTTTTTTGAATTTAAATGTCAATTGCATTTCATAATTTTTATAAGTTTTAC